CAAGTGAATTAACTTAACGTTCTACACACCTATAAAACTTTTGCTTTGTTTTCTTTTGTTAATTTATATACATTTTTGTTTTAAGAAATTGCTAAACATTTTCGTCTAGTACTGTACAGTTCTAGCCGATCTCCTAAGACCGCCCATCAAGAGCTCTGCTCGTTCAAGCTTGTTCTTGCTCACGCCTAGTGTGTATTCTTTCTATCTTCGCGCAGATTTCTTCAAGGTCACAATTCTTACAAGTTGAAATGGGCAGTACGCTGTTTCAAATCAAAAAAGAATTATAAAAATCATCAGCGCAATACACAGATAAAATCTACCTAATACATATTCGTCGAACTAAGAATCTCCTGAAAATTCTTCATTCAATAAACCTTTCAGCATATCCTGATGATATAGTGCAAACACCACTATTACTTTAGAAAAACTCCGATGTTTTAAAAATTAGCAAATGCCTGCAAGGTATTCCTAAAAAATATTTTAAACTTAAGTAAATGCAGAAAATTTTTATATTTTATATTTTGCTTTTAGAATTTAAAATACAAAATTGAAATTTATTTTGTATCTTACATTTGAAATAATAAATCAAAAGTGTTTGCATTTTGTATTTACATACCATTTTGTTTGGGTTCTGTTTAGTTATTAAATTTTGTTATTATCAGTGTATTTACATGATTATTTAAAACTTTGTTAATTTTTATTTTCAGGAAGAGTGCGATCCTGATCAGTCTCACATAAAAAGACCGTATTCAGCAGGACAAACAGTTATTCAGAAAGGGATTTCTGAAAAAAATCAATCGTCAATACCGCAAAGGGATTTGTACAGAAGAATAGATTGCTCGAGCTTAGAAAGCATAGAAGGTTCGAAGAATCTTTCATAATAAATATTTATTTTGGCGTGTTTTTATACGTACTACACAATTTCACAGAAATTTTCATATAATACGTAAGGAAAAATAACTTAAAACTCTCCTATACAATTTTGACCCTGACGTAACTTTTGTATGAAAGTTTTCTTGCGACATTTCAATTTACTTTTTCTTTTTTAAGGTTATTGCACCTTACACCAATATTAATGTTAGCTCGACATTTTTTTTAACTTTTGTTCTAGACATCAGTAAAGATTTACCGTCGTCGGCAATTTTAAGCCACTTGCTGACAGAACCCATAACTACTTTGGAAAAACAGAAGCTTTCAAAACATAACAGAAAACACCACAAAATTGACACAATATCTAATCACAGCGAAGATTCAAATACGTTATCTGAGATAAGTTCTACCGACACTTTAGATGCCAAAATAAAAAAACTCATTGAAGATTCTAAAAAGTGCAAAGAAATCCAAAAAGAAGTCGAAGATATGATAAACAGTTCCAAAGAACAGAATCTTCAAGAGCCGAATCACAAACTGAACGAAACACAAGAAGAAACATGTATAACCACTGAAAATGAAAGAGTTGAAACTTCTTTAGAAGAATGTAGAAAGGGATTTACCGAGGTCTTCCAAATCCAAACTGAGAAGAACGAGGCAATTACTAAGGATACTTCCTGTGGTGATAACGAAACCACTTCTCATTTTTTTAACAATTCTCGTTGTGACAATTACACCACCCTAGAAAACAATTGCAAACTAGCCTTAACTCCTGGGCTGAAGTCGAAGCCTCCGCTTCCTAAGAAATCACAAATTCCCAAAATAGTAATTGAACCATGTGAACCACCTTTTCAGTACAACAGCAGCAAAAATTTTACCGTTCAACAGCTAACTAACTTCATAGTAGGTGTAGATAAAAATTATACCGAAGAATCAGTTGGGCCAACAACAGGAAATAGCTTAAACGAAATTGCTGGAAAAGGCGACGGAGAATTCTTAAGTAATTCGGAAGATGGTTCGTCAATTTCTTTGCAGAATATTTCATATAATGAGAGCGATTATCAAAACGTGATTATGACTGCCAATAATCTGTTAGATATCGGACACAATGAAGGGAGCGTGAAGACTAACGAATCTACAGAAAATACTTTTGCAAAATCCATAACCTCTAATGGAAATCCAGTCGATTTGAAAGTACAAAATTGGATAGAAAGTGAACCTGAAGAACAAATAGCGAACAATGCTGCTTTTGATGAAATTCAAACTGATAAGTCGTTACAAGATCTCAGGGAACAACAGATTAAAAATATAGACCAACAAGGAGACACTAGTGATAATAACTGTCAAATACTAGGTGACAAGCCAAACAAGAAGTCCAGTAGAAAAAAAGACGCAAAGGAAAATAATAATCGCAAGTATAAAATACAAGATTTTCGTAAAATAAAAAGGACCAACAATGAATCTAAAGAAATAATAAGCAGCTTGGATAAAATGTTCGGAAGTGGGGATGGGGTTAACACAAACGTGGAAAGCGAGTTTCTTGAACTGTATTTAAGAAGTCAAGGCGAAACTATCAGAACGAAAAATTCTAAAAAGAAGTCAAAAAATTCAACAACTGCTAGTATCAAGAATGGTAAAACAAAATCAAAGACCATTTCAAAAAATGCCCAAAAATCCATAGAAGATCTAGCGAGTAACCGTTCTGATGTCGAATCTTGGATGTCATGCAATCGAGAATCTAAGCTGGACATTTTTGATAAGGAGAAAACTTTGAATCACAAAAAAGGGTCAAATTTCACGGATTTTTTAGATAATATTAATGAAATTGAAATGACCACCATTCCTATAAGTAATCGAATTATGGATTGTAATACAGGAAGCAAGCCTTCGGTCAACGACGGAGGAGATGATCCGTACGATGAAATTGTATCGGTGTTGAAAACTTTGGAGGATGTGGACAAGAAGTCTCGTGAGTACCCAAGCATAAAATATTTCTTCTATTATCTTATCCTTTGGGTCAGGCAAGGTAAGTGGCAGTACATTTACTGATACTTATTTACTGTTTACTTGATATCGATTTGGTCGGAGATTTATCGAAGTTAGTTTATAGTACATAAAATATCTACACTTCATGCTATAGAGAAATAAGAATAGATGGCGCTATGTACCATGTACTCTATTATGTGATGACCGACTAACTGAAAATCGATTATCAAAATTTTTAAATCGAAAATGTATTAATCGAAATAACGGAAAATCTATTAATATTAACAATCGGTTTCGACTAATTAAAATAAACAATTGTTTCAACTGATAAGAATAATTGATTAATCAAAAAGCACTTAACAGAAATAATCGATATAATGGGTTAAATCGATTATGTACATGAATCGGAACAATCGAAATTAATCAAATAATAGATTAATTTAATTATGTACTTAATTTTTAATTCAGATGTACCCAAAAAAATAGACTGAACCGATTAAATTAAATAATTCATTATTTAAATAATTCAATTGTCTCAAATAATATAAACAATCGATTGAACCCATGTATCGAAATTTTCGAGAAATCGATTATTTCGGTTAATCAGTTTTCAATTAATTAATTATTCGAATTTATTTAAAAAACGGATTATTTTGATTATTCGACTTTCGGTTACTTTGATTAATCAATCTTATATTTAAAATTTTCGACAATCAATTTTCTATTAATCGATTTTTGAATAATCGATTTTCGATTGTTTCGATTAATCAAATTAATTAAATAAATTTATGTCAGTGCATAAAATAATTCATATTCATTTTATAAAATTTTACTTCGATGTAAGTAGTCTCAGTGAATACAAATTCATGAATTCACCATCTTAGGATCGTCAGTCCTAGGACTAGTTGGACACGCACCTCCACTTCTTTCTATCCTGAGCTAATCCTCGCTTTTCCCTAAAAACTAGAACATCCCATATCCTTAACTATTTGTGAACAGTAATTTAATCTAGGTCTACCCCTACTCCTCTTAACTCCTGTTTCCGCATCTAATATGTGTCTAAGTAGCCTTTCATTCATGAATTAACATAATTTTAATTCTGACTTTATTGACGTGACAACGTCTTATAATTCGATGGAGCCGGCTGCACGCACGAAAAAACATGACTCATGCGGCGTTACCTCGCTCTGAGGCGTTCCATTTAAGGCTTGAAGTGCAAGCGAGAGCGCGGAACGAGCGACAAAGAGGCACAATCGGCCTCCGCGTTCGGCAGCGTTCGACATCTGTCTCTCTCCTACTTGAGTGAGCGATGCGTCCGCGTGGACAGCTGCTATACAATAATACATTTCCATTTACCTCCTTCTCTATATCCATACAAAATATCTATCAAACAAATAAAATTAAAATTTTCTTTTGAAAAATGAAACCATTCCATCAGTATTTTCTTATGACGTTGTCACGTTCAACTATCGTCAGTAAACCGACTTTACAGACAACCGATTTTTTTTTATTTTGATTTTAAAATTTTTATTGATATAATTCTTTAGATACTTAAGATCACTAATTTGTTTGGTACAATTTACATGTATTCTGCTATGAAGTAGTAAAACGACGTGGTGTAGGGTTTATTGTATTAATCAGTTTTCATTTTATTTCTGCTTTTTCACTTATAGTGTTACATAGAATTTATTTTTTGTACAAGAATGTTTTGGTAAGATATTGTAGGTGCCTCTGGATGTGAATTAAGTAAAGGATATGATTTCAATATTGCTTTAGAATGAGGCCAACATAAAATATGTGTGAATAATCAAAATTTTGTAGGTATATTTGTTATATCAACGAAATTTAATAGCCTCGTTTCTTCCCTTATACTAATATCGAGGCATCTTTACTGTCACTTTCAGTGCTTCTCTTCCATCAAATTTGACTGAAGGTATTGCTTTCTCACAATTTCGGAAACGTGGAAAATATTAAATTTCAACTCCTCAGAAACGTAATTTATCTCTTTAATATCTCCCTTTTCTACAGAAATAATGTTCGACTTAATTCCTTTGATTCACGGTGTAACCGACTACCTCCATAAAAAGAAAAAAAATATTTTTTTCGACAATCAGTACCTACTTTATTTGTATTTAATGAAATTCTACTGCAATAGTCAACAAAATTGAAGCAGTAGGGCAGCTATCAAAAATATTTGTTAGAAATTGTAAAGAAAGAGAACCAATTAAGTGATGCATAGGTATTTTATTGTCTAAATTGGGAATAATTGGAAAAATAAACAAATACGCATCTAATATGATGCAACAATCAAATGGCATAGTCATCAACATCCCCTGCGAAAGCTTCCTACTGGTGAGATTACGTGAAGCAGACAATTTACAATCTATTTATGAAAATCGTTGATTTCATAGAATAACACAAGTACATACAAACCTCCCATGTTACAGTATGACAAATTTATTTTAAAGAAGCAGCTGCTGCATCCTTGTCATTTGCAGCGAGTGAAAGCCTTACAGGAGGCGTAATTTAAATAGTAGAGTATTAGCGATGAGCAAATGTTTTTCTTTCATTCATCTTTATCATAATGGTCGTCTAAACGTTTTTTATTGTTGTTGATGCCCACTTTAGCCTTTCGATAATAGGCACTGTTTACATTTTTAATCGATGTAGCTGATCAGTCCTTAACGCAATTCCCTGCAAACGCATAGACCTACGTGGTCATTTCACGCACAGGACCGGCATCAGATTATAGCTTGTGGTTTTCTTACAAATTGTATTGCTCTTTAACCTCCTGCCCTACGCACAACGCGATTTCTCATAACAACACCCTCAAAAGTCGCGTACTTATTTTACAAACACCCTGTATATACATACAAATATATTTATATTAAAGTTGTTTCAATAAATTAAAACATCAATTATAGAAGAAGAAATAACGGAATGTTTTTTATTGAATAAACGGTCCTACAACAATAGATCAATAGGTAGCTCATTGTTTAGATGAAAGCATGGAATGCATGAAAGGAATAGCAGAGAGGGCAGTTCGTCTTCCATCAAAAGAAAATGCGGCTCGTAACAACGAAAACGGCGAAAGGGAAAGGCCGGACGGGGAAAGAAAAATTCCGTGTTCGTCAAACGCGTGCCAAGGAAACTATTCCGATGGGAATAACGACAACACCAAGCTGACTGGCATCGCGAGCGAGCGAAATAATGAAGATATTTTCTCGAGTTCCAACAGGCAGGCCGATAAATCTTCAATTAATCTTAAGTAAGTAATAACCTGACCCAACGGATCAATTAGGAATATCGACAACCACAAACACCAACTTCCTATAAATCTAAAATAAAAAAGTTTTCTAATTAGGCAAGCCCGTTTGATAAAGGACAATAAGAAAAAAAATCATAATTAGTCATTATGTGCTAGAAACATGTCGCTTATTGCACAGCTGTGTTCCGAATGGGGTCGTAAGTTATTAAACAAAAAAGTTGCGGTGAAGTTGGGCACGAATTAGGGGTAGGTACCAATAGAACAATAAAAAATTGTAGCGAATTCTCAAATCTGTTAATCTAAATCATACCGGTCCAGTGAAGAGTGAGAGTTTCCAACGAATGCCGCTGGCGATCGATACGGATGACACGCCTGTTGTGCCGGAAGTTGTGGGACTTAACTTACACCGCGGACAAGACTTAACAGGAAGTTTCCGGGAATAATCAGGACTAGTAATTACAAGAGAGTTGATATAAATAGACTGCGAACGAGAATACTAAACAATATATAAAATATAGTTACATAAATAATCGATTGTAAAATATTATGGACACTATTTGATCTTTGTTGGTTTAGCCTATAACCTATTATACATGCTTCCTACTCGTACTCTATAATGATATCTATCTGAGTTAACTACACTCTTACCCTATTGTTTAAATATTCAGTTTTTGTTAATTACGTTTTTCTAAATTTCAGAGAAATAATGTCCTATTTGGATGAGGTAGATAAAAATTATAGTAAATCTATAAATTCCGCAAAGGAGGGTGCCGAAATTGCTACAGTGCTGATTGAATCTACACTCCAACTAGATAATATACCCAAGTAAGGACAACACCAAGTTCCTTAACTATTTGTGAACAGTAATCTACGCTGAATGTTCCTCTGCTGCTCTTTACTCCTGCTTCTGTTTCTAATATGTTTCTGACCAGCCTATCCTTTCATGTCGTAAATGGTATGCTACCGTCCTACCTCTCCTTTTCTTTACTGACCCTTATAGCGTCCTCTTCTGTTCTTATTCCTACCCCAAAATTCCTGCTATACCAATTCTGATGATATTTAAATGAAATCAATTCAAGAGTACTGTTCGTTTCAAGAAGTTGGAGATATGCCCCTTCCCTTTATTAGGATGCGCCGTAGCATAATTCCAAATTCAATCATATTTGTCTGCGGAGCTCATTTCTCCACACATCATCGAGCGAGAACTAGACAAAAGTGTACAGTACCATCTGCAAAATTATTTAAACTGCCTCGTTAAAATTTAAGAATATGCTTTATTTAAAAGCACATTTAGCCAAAAATGATAACAAATGAATTAACTTAACGCTCTACACACCTATAAAACTTTTGCTTTGTTTTTTTTTGTTAATTTATATACATTTTTGTTTTAAGAAATTGCTAAACATTTTCGTCTAGTACTGTACAGTTCTAGCCGATCTCCTAAGACCGCCCATCAAGAGCTCTGCTCGTTCAAGCTTGTTCTTGCTCACGCCTAGTGTGTATTCTTTCTATCTTCGCGCAGATTTCTTCAAGGTCACAATTCTTACAAGTTGAAATGGGCAGTACGCTGTTTCAAATCAAAAAAGAATTATAAAAATCATCAGCGCAATACACAGATAAAATCTACCTAATACATATTCGTCGAACTAAGAATCTCCTGAAAATTCTTCATTCAATAAACCTTTCAGCATATCGAAAATGGAAATCTTTGATTTGATGTTTTTACAGAGACGTGACTGAGATTTAAATGAAAATTTTGCACACATGATTTACTTTTGATAACAAATCGAATGAGACAGATCAAATCGGAATTCCTTAAGGGAAACTTTCCAGCATCTCATCCTGATTTGTGTTCGTTTCAGAACAGACGACTTAATTCTCTTGGCACCTTCTGATCTGGCTCGTCAAGTAGTCGACTTGCACATTCGTCTGAAAGACAAATCATCATCTATTGCTCTCCTTCAACGAGAGCTATCGATTTTAAGAGAACAGGTCACGAAGATGACCAGACAAACTGACGAAATTGTGAAACAAAAGCTCAAGAGTCAGAAGGAAGAATACGAAGCCGTTGTGAAAAGACATCAGAAGTTCATCGATCAGCTAATTGCCGATAAAAAAACGCTCAATCAGCAGTGCGAAAGTTTGATACACGAAATGAAAGTTCTTGAAGAGAGATTCAATTGCAACATGAGAGCAGTCGATCATAGGCACAGGGTTGAATTACAAAAAGTGAAAGACATGCAAAAAGCGGATGAGAAAATTAGAAGGGAGAAATGGATGGACAATAAAACTCAAAAAATTAAGGTCAGTTATTAATATAACTTAAAATACTTCATTCGGAAGCCTAATACCTTCCTATACTCATTGATANATATATTTATATTAAAGTTGTTTCAATAAATTAAAACATCAATTATAGAAGAAGAAATAACGGAATGTTTTTTATTGAATAAACGGTCCTACAACAATAGATCAATAGGTAGCTCATTGTTTAGATGAAAGCATGGAATGCATGAAAGGAATAGCAGAGAGGGCAGTTCGTCTTCCATCAAAAGAAAATGCGGCTCGTAACAACGAAAACGGCGAAAGGGAAAGGCCGGACGGGGAAAGAAAAATTCCGTGTTCGTCAAACGCGTGCCAAGGAAACTATTCCGATGGGAATAACGACAACACCAAGCTGACTGGCATCGCGAGCGAGCGAAATAATGAAGATATTTTCTCGAGTTCCAACAGGCAGGCCGATAAATCTTCAATTAATCTTAAGTAAGTAATAACCTGACCCAACGGATCAATTAGGAATATCGACAACCACAAACACCAACTTCCTATAAATCTAAAATAAAAAAGTTTTCTAATTAGGCAAGCCCGTTTGATAAAGGACAATAATTAAATTTGTTTTGAAGAGTTTGGCTAGAAAAAAAATCATAATTAGTCATTATGTGCTAGAAACATGTCGCTTATTGCACAGCTGTGTTCCGAATGGGGTCGTAAGTTATTAAACAAAAAAGTTGCGGTGAAGTTGGGCACGAATTAGGGGTAGGTACCAATAGAACAATAAAAAATTGTAGCGAATTCTCAAATCTGTTAATCTAAATCATACCGGTCCAGTGAAGAGTGAGAGTTTCCAACGAATGCCGCTGGCGATCGATACGGATGACACGCCTGTTGTGCCGGAAGTTGTGGGACTTAACTTACACCGCGGACAAGACTTAACAGGAAGTTTCCGGGAATAATCAGGACTAGTAATTACAAGAGAGTTGATATAAATAGACTGCGAACGAGAATACTAAACAATATATAAAATATAGTTACATAAATAATCGATTGTAAAATATTATGGACACTATTTGATCTTTGTTGGTTTAGCCTATAACCTATTATACATGCTTCCTACTCGTACTCTATAATGATATCTATCTGAGTTAACTACACTCTTACCCTATTGTTTAAATATTCAGTTTTTGTTAATTACGTTTTTCTAAATTTCAGAGAAATAATGTCCTATTTGGATGAGGTAGATAAAAATTATAGTAAATCTATAAATTCCGCAAAGGAGGGTGCCGAAATTGCTACAGTGCTGATTGAATCTACACTCCAACTAGATAATATACCCAAGTAAGGACAACACCAAGTTCCTTAACTATTTGTGAACAGTAATCTACGCTGAATGTTCCTCTGCTGCTCTTTACTCCTGCTTCTGTTTCTAATATGTTTCTGACCAGCCTATCCTTTCATGTCGTAAATGGTATGCTACCGTCCTACCTCTCCTTTTCTTTACTGACCCTTATAGCGTCCTCTTCTGTTCTTATTCCTACCCCAAAATTCCTGCTATACCAATTCTGATGATATTTAAATGAAATCAATTCAAGAGTACTGTTCGTTTCAAGAAGTTGGAGATATGCCCCTTCCCTTTATTAGGATGCGCCGTAGCATAATTCCAAATTCAATCATATTTGTCTGCGGAGCTCATTTCTCCACACATCATCGAGCGAGAACTAGACAAAAGTGTACAGTACCATCTGCAAAATTATTTAAACTGCCTCGTTAAAATTTAAGAATATGCTTTATTTAAAAGCACATTTAGCCAAAAATGATAACAAATGAATTAACTTAACGCTCTACACACCTATAAAACTTTTGCTTTGTTTTTTTTTGTTAATTTATATACATTTTTGTTTTAAGAAATTGCTAAACATTTTCGTCTAGTACTGTACAGTTCTAGCCGATCTCCTAAGACCGCCCATCAAGAGCTCTGCTCGTTCAAGCTTGTTCTTGCTCACGCCTAGTGTGTATTCTTTCTATCTTCGCGCAGATTTCTTCAAGGTCACAATTCTTACAAGTTGAAATGGGCAGTACGCTGTTTCAAATCAAAAAAGAATTATAAAAATCATCAGCGCAATACACAGATAAAATCTACCTAATACATATTCGTCGAACTAAGAATCTCCTGAAAATTCTTCATTCAATAAACCTTTCAGCATATCGAAAATGGAAATCTTTGATTTGATGTTTTTACAGAGACGTGACTGAGATTTAAATGAAAATTTTGCACACATGATTTACTTTTGATAACAAATCGAATGAGACAGATCAAATCGGAATTCCTTAAGGGAAACTTTCCAGCATCTCATCCTGATTTGTGTTCGTTTCAGAACAGACGACTTAATTCTCTTGGCACCTTCTGATCTGGCTCGTCAAGTAGTCGACTTGCACATTCGTCTGAAAGACAAATCATCATCTATTGCTCTCCTTCAACGAGAGCTATCGATTTTAAGAGAACAGGTCACGAAGATGACCAGACAAACTGACGAAATTGTGAAACAAAAGCTCAAGAGTCAGAAGGAAGAATACGAAGCCGTTGTGAAAAGACATCAGAAGTTCATCGATCAGCTAATTGCCGATAAAAAAACGCTCAATCAGCAGTGCGAAAGTTTGATACACGAAATGAAAGTTCTTGAAGAGAGATTCAATTGCAACATGAGAGCAGTCGATCATAGGCACAGGGTTGAATTACAAAAAGTGAAAGACATGCAAAAAGCGGATGAGAAAATTAGAAGGGAGAAATGGATGGACAATAAAACTCAAAAAATTAAGGTCAGTTATTAATATAACTTAAAATACTTCATTCGGAAGCCTAATACCTTCCTATACTCATTGATACTAACGTTTAAATAATGTTACAATTTGAGACTATTTTTTACTAATACTAAATAAATTTAAGTTTAAAAAAATACAACGTGTAATTATACAACACGCTACTGAAGTGAAACTTTTTCAAACACACGAACATACCGGGATAGGGGTTAAGGAATTGGTTTAATGGTATTATTTGTACACTATGCTTCGCACGGGTGCAATGCTGATAGTAAATATACTATAGAATGTCTTTATATACAACAATCACAGCTTTTTTGTCATTAGACAATACAAACCGGCCGGTACCGCCGCAACCGCTATGTCCCTGCATTTTAAGTCTGTAATATCTTCGAAAATATTCATTTAAATTACATGCTGTAAAGGGCCATATTGATCTATATTAAATGCACAATGTATTTAAAAGTACTTAATTGGATAAGGATTAATGCTGTATTGCTTAAATAAGCCATTATTTCTCGTAAAAAGTAAAGGATAAAAAATGGTTATTGTAGGTTATCCCTAAGAGATAAACATATACCATCGCGGACTTTTTTGTAGACCTTTTTAAGGTGTACAATACTGTAGTAATTATTTTGATCTATCTCGTAGGGTTCAGCCAGCGTTTGCAATGTAAGCGCAAAAAATGTGTTTATTTACGACATCACATTAGAAACCTCTAAAATTGTCACTGTTTCTCTACCATATTATGCATGTATTATACATATAAACCTTCCTCTTGAATTACTCTATCTATTATTATCATTAGAATCCGTTGAGTAGTTTTAAAGATTTAAGCATACATAGGGACAGACAGCAGGGAAATGCGTTGCATGATTTCGTTACATAGCAACTCGCATGAAACGAAATTACCCTACCGTGCGTAAAGAAGTTTCACTTCAAAAAATTGTTTTTATTACTTATGAAAACAGTTTTGTCGTACAATGGCTTCTTCAGATGAAAGAAATTATGAAAACAAGTTTCTGAACTTATCAGTTTACGTACATTATGGGAGATTAACAAATAACTCCAGACAGCGTAAGAGACGCCATCTGTAGAGATTTGCCACCAACTCTGGTTTCATTAATGTTTACAAGATGCTTTTCGATCAAGGATAAGCATAAGTTCTTGATCAGCTTTCTGTCGGAACTGTCGAAGGTGCATTGTGGCTTCAAGCTTGTGCAGATGGGTTTTACTAAGCTGTCTAATAGTTGTTTATTAATCTCGCTGTTAGTTTAGTCGGTATTCTGTCGAAATGTAATATAACTGTGTCTTAGAGCGCCTTTGATGTGCAGTTACATTATCTAAAACCTCAATTAATGTATTGGTGCATTGGACAACTAATGAGGTATAGCTGAAAATAGCTTGACAATGGTAGGTAGATAGGTAGAACTTTACCTGGATGCGCTGTGACAAAATTTTAAATTCAAACATATTTTATCTTGTCCAAACCAATTGCGAAAGTTCCGCATACATTTTCACATCCGCTTCAGTATTTCGTTCCGCATTTTTATAACGGAAGCTTATCGGAACTCGGAACTTAACAAAATCTTGTTTCTCTTCCTATTGAAAATAAATATATCGGAATCATAAAACAAGTCGTAAAAATATATTATTTTTATCTGTTGGCTGAAATTGGCCGTTTCCAAAACACAATTTAAATGAAATTGCTCGTTTCAAAGCTACATGTTCTGCAGGTACCTGCGACCCCTGTGTAACATTGTAAATGTTTTTTTATTAACCGCTTTTGTTTATGAAGTATTAGCGTTAAAGCAGCATTATAGCTAGTAAAATTTTGTTAATAATAATATTGTGCCTATGCACAAATAAGTTTATTAGGACCTAAATCTACTTCATATATTTCGTATGTTGATATTTGCCAAATGTTATTCTCTTGTTAGTTTCTTAATACTTTAATCTAAAAACGTCCAGCTGCTCCTTAGCCAATTCTGCTAATAATTTCATTTCGAAAATATTAATGCAGTATAGTGTTTATAGCGATGTAAACTTTAAGATAAATGTGCAATTTTGAAGCCAAAGGGAAGTTCCATTTGGGATTATTTTCTTGATATTAACAATGCAAGTGCTAAATGCAAAATTTGCAACAAAATATTCGCGAAAAGGGCGCACGTCTACTGCATTAAAGAATCACCTAAAATCATTACACTTCCGCTTCCGCTTCCGCAAAAATTTACTATTTTCTTCTATTTCCGCTTCTGTTACGCTCTGACACATTCAATATTCTGAGGATGGGATCCAATCAAACAATTACTTTGAAAGAAAAATACTCAGTTTATAAATAGACCAGTTAAATTAGCTCAAAAAGGTACCAAAACAAAACTAAATGTTACCCAGAGTAAGACCTACAAAAAAGTCTTGAGGAAGGTATTTCGACACGCGAAACAGGCTTTTCGTTGATAACAAAAAAAATATAAATTTTACAGGAAAAAGTTAAATGTAAAAGTAGTAGGATTTTAAATACCCTACAAAACACAAAAAAAAAACGATTTTCTTGGCTCTCCGTTGAGTTTTAAGTAATTAAAATTCCTTGTTAAAGAAGCAGCAATTCATGTGCTCAATCAGATTGAAAAAATGAAAATCAACGGAGATATCATTATTTGTTTATAAATAAAAAAGGTATCACTTTTTTAAAAGTATATAACTCTGGTCAAGTTGCTTTTTCTTTTGATTTGCTTGCTTCAGAAAGAGCTAATGATTATGAAAGTATCATCAATAGAACGTTTGTTTTAACAATGTTAAATTAATAATTAGAATATTGATTATTTTTAACGGTCTTTTAAACATTACTCAGCAATTACTGATCCAATTTTGAATATTTAAAATCTGTTTTGTTGGGAATTTGAAATCTTACAACTTTTACTTTTAACTTTTTCTTATAAAGATTATAATTAATTAAATTAAAATTATAAACAAAAAATTAATTAGTGTATTTTTAGACGCAATTATTAAACAACAGTTCCAACCAAAATTTTCGGGTAATTCGCAGATATCCTTCAAAGACAAACCTTTTTCGAAACTATTAGATAATCGAACAAAATAATTCGAAGTGGTCTGTATTCTGTCGAAACTGCCAGACGCGGATCGCGATTTCGATCTTTTTGGATCTCATCAGTGTAACGCAGGCAGCTCCGACAGAACACAGACCAACCTTTACCTGCTGTTTTAACAGCGTGTTTTAGAAAATACCAAAAATGGCGTGGTGAGCGCCATCTGTAGTACGATGTTACATATTAGGATTACGTATGCTCCAGCAAGGCCGAATTATTTTGGTCGATTGTGGTATTTTCTATTAGATAAGCGTTAGACTAGGTAACATTTACTATTTTCGAAATTCTAATTTGACTGGTCTAAGAATACCATAAATACACGTACTATGTTAGTTTTAAAAATAACGTCTCGTTTTATAAGGCTAATATCCGGATATCTTGAAAACGATTTCCAAGTTTATTTATCTGAAAGGATTGTCTGTTTGCAAACGCATTATTAGATAAAATCAATTTGCTCTGTTTCGTTAACGATTACAAATGATCCATTAAAGCCATTGGACTTTCAGGAATTAACGGTGAAAAGTCTGGAACCTGAATTGGAAAAGATGGCTGCTAGACATCAACGGGAATTGTCAGAGTTGCGTGCCTTACATAAGAACGAAATCGAGGACATGGAATTGAGACATTCCCGAAAGATGCAACAACAAATGGAGACGCTAAGGGAGCAACTTACCGAAGCGAGAGAAAAGGCAATAATTCACGAGAGAGAAGTGATGAGGCAAAGGTAAATGCGCTTTTGCTGTTTCACAGGTGTTCCCGTTTTGCTCTGGTAATTTCTATCAACAAAAAATTACGATACAAACTACGAACAAGGGAAACTCCTTAAAGTTGAGAATTTGCTGGTGCAACATACTTCATGTTCACAAGAAGTCCTGGAAGAAGAGTGTCTTTCGATTTGTGAATATATTTTTAGAAATGTCCACTTTTTGTTAGTTGATGAGTAAAAGTTCGCGTGCGGTAAGGTCCGTATCATAAATATTCCTCCCACTGCTCGCAACATAAGAAGTTTGCATCTGAAAATTCCGAATCTTAAAAAAACAATTGTGTGGTTTTATGAAACTACGATGCAAGTAAAACTTTTCGGATTGTAGGCATTTAACGGTAAATTTTCGGAAAATTATTCTATTTAGGGTATTAAAATTAAAATCGCGTTCTTAATCTTATCTTAATGATTGATGATAATGGGAAATCAATAGTAGACAAGATATTCAACTACAAATTTTAATTTCAATTTGCGTATGAGAGTACGAAATACATAAAAAATACAATCATTCAGATAATAGACGCATGTAAAAAACTGAGAACAATATTTATTTAAATCATTGAATCATTTTGAACTTCAGTTATTCTATCAATAATTTTATCTTCGAATTGAGCTTCACAGTCTATAAATGTAATTGTAATGCACTTGCACGAATGAGTGAGAATATAAATGTTACACGGTTAGCTCATGCAAGCCATGGGCGCCGCCATATTGACCTTGGCTGCCTTGACGAACGCCTTTCAGTTTTACCCCAACTCCGCGGCCGGTTGTAATGCGACATGCGATAGATGGACGAAAAAATTTGAGGCGATGTAATAAAAGTTTCACTTTAAAAAGCTGTAAATTCTAAAATCTTGGCTTTGTATTCATTAGACCGATCAAATAATAAGAAAGAAAAAGTCATGAGTATTAAGTGCAAACCTTCCGGCATTCTTATTTTATTAAAAATGGAATAAAACAACTGTTAAAAAGAATTAAAAACAATATTTAAATTTTTAAATGAACTAAAAAATAAAAATATTAGTATGGTAATCCTATATCTTCCAGTTGATTTAAAAATTCTGTACATAACTAACTTTGTACCTTTCTTAATTGTTTAGTTCATTTGAAAATGAATAGTTTGATGTAAGAAAGTTTTAACAATTATGCGTTCTCATTTATCAAGTATTTATAAATATGTCAAGTTTCTGACATTAAAACAACGCTCTACCAATTTTTTAACTTTATGAACTAAACAAGTTTGTCATTCGAAGCAAGGTCTTTGTCTCTCAGTAGGGGCAGCATATGTCGGATACATGTTTCACCATTAAACACATTAATTCAAACAAGGGTTCAGGCATCCCAAAGATACGTTGCCAATAATGAGATTTCACGCATCAACGATAATTTAGTCACGAAAGTGAGACCGAACAATTTCAGTAATTTCAATAAAACTGGAGCCGTTAAACAGTGCTTACTGAATACAAATAGACGACGTAGTGAACGCCATCTGTAGAAAATTTGCCACCACTGCGTGCCAATGAAAGCCAGCGAGTTCGAAATCGCTACCCGCGTAGCTTTAGCGTATTACTTGACTAAATTCACGTAGATAGCATTATTGAATCCACGATTTTCCACTAAATTAAAAAACAAATTGGGTGTCAATAGTCATCACCATCACCACCTAAAACTACAGCATCCCACATCTGATTCTGATTCTGATCAGTAATCTAATCTAGTTCTACCTCTACTCCTATTAACTCCCGTTTCTGTTTCTAATATGTATCTGACTAGACCTTCATGCCTGAGAAGGTGTCCTACCAATCTATCTCGCCTATTCCTCATTGACTTCCATAAAGTTCTCTGTTCTCCTATTTTTTCTAATATCCTTTCATTTCTAACCTTCTTCCACCGACAATGTTTCGCACCCGTACTGCACCGCGCTCCAAACATACATCTTTAACAATATTTTTCGAATTTCTAAATTAATCATTTGCTAGCATAGAAGTGACTTCTTCTTATTGAAGGCGACTCGGCCCTGCGCTATCATCTGCCTTATATCCCTACTACTCCTTTCGTCCTGACGTATCTGACTTCCTAGATACCTAAAATCAGCCAGTTCTTCTAATCATTTTTCTCCTATCTTTATATTCGCTCTTTCCCTACTTTTTCTTCCCCTGCTTAGTAGTATTTTTGTTTTACTTTTACTTATTTTCATACAAATCGGTTTTGTCAATACCGTTTCCATTTTATGCTATCTCTAACTACTCCTTAGTAGATGCTAATACTGCTACATCATCTGCAAATCTAAGCTTACTAATCTTTAGCCCTTCTATTTCTATCCCTACAGTTGTACTGTCTTTAATAATGTTGATTACGTCTTCGATATATAGATTAAAAAGTAGCGGTGACAGTGTGAATCCTTGTCTGACTCTCTTCCTAATATTTACTTCTCTACGTTGCTGCCCCAACTCTATAAGTGCCTGTTGCTCTTTCTACGAATTAAGTATCACTCTTCTATCTCTGTAACTCATCCATACATTTTTGAGTATATTTAACATCTTGTCTTCGGGAAACATGAATGGTACCTATATTTTATTGGCTGCGCCTTCGTATCAGTCGATTGTCGGTAAGCCATTGAGTTACATCGTAATTAATGAACTGAGCAAGCGCAGCAAGAATAACCCGGTGGCGTATCGAGGAGGGGTGGGTGAGGATAGAATCAGTTCCGCCGCACAGCAATGTTAATATTACAACTTCTTGGTATTTGTATCAGTTAGGTATTAATAATATAAATTGTACCGTGTAGCAAGACATTACCAACTTGGTTGACAAAAATACCAAGATTTTTGTGTTAGGGTGAAATTTACTCCTGCGCCTCTGTTACTTAACGTTCCGTATTTATATTTCCATGCCTAAGTTGTCTATACACGTTTAATTTGAATCTTCAAATTTTCAAAAGTTCATTTAGAAATGAAAAGACTCTAAAGAACATTATCCATGTTTGATTGAAGCCCCATAAAATAATTACATCTTTGTGAAACAGAGTGAAAAGGTTTTTTTTCCAGAATCATACGCATTACACTATTGCATTTTTGAGTTGAGAGGAAAAGTTCAGCTTTTATTTGCCACTCGCATTGAAATGCCTTTTTTTATAGCAAATATATCCATCATAGCTAATTCGTATTCAGCCTGTTGAAAAAATTTTCATCTAAATGAAAAAAGTCCAATGGCTGCTTCGCGGACTCGAAAATTAAAACGTTTATCAAAACCGCAGAGAGTCTGCACTAATTCTTTTCGGGGTTGTGAGCTTTTAACTAATGAAGGAAAGCGGACGCGAAAAATTGCCCTTTTTCTGAATTTCGCTTACGAACGGTCCTTCCCTCTTACTTAATGAAGATACAAACGTAGAAATACTCATGAAATAAAAGAAGATCGGGCATTAGCAGAACACAAAAACGTAACGTGCTCAGGACATTCATTGTTTAACCTTCACTAATTTGCTAATAAGGTAAACTATATTTCAATAGATATAAAGACAAAAATCAGAAGATTAATAAACAAAGTGCAACAAAAAGCAAAACGTAATAGTCCAAGGTCCCAGAGCCGGGAGACATTGCTAATTTTTGAAGTGAAACTTCTATATAAACGGCGGGGTACTACGATTTTTTCCGTCACGAAAAAGCGTTACGACCGCGTGGAGGGGGTACACGGTATATCGCGTGGCGAGAGACGGCAGCGGTGGAAGGAGAGAAAGGCTGATGACGGCGAAGAGAGGGCAATGGCTGTATTAGATGGATATAATGCGCAGCCTCGCGGAGAGCGGGAGTCTGCTAGAACCCCAGCGGCGTGTGCTGTGCTCAGCTGTTGTTTTCTTACCTCTGCTCTCCAGGTGGCTGGGCATGATTGCCTCTATTTGCGGTCTGTGTAAAAACCAAATCATAATTGTGTACTGGGACACGTACCATAGTAAAAGTGAAACTTCAACGGACAAGTGGAAAAACGAATCGCAACAAAATTTTTACTTCAAGTTTTACGGGCAGGTTTTCAAATTGGACAAGTACATTAACAATCTGCCCGTAAAATCTGAAGTAAAAATTTTGTTACGATTCGTTTCTCCACTTCTCCGTTGCCATTCGTTTTTCCACTTGTTCATTGAAGTTTGACTTCTACTATGTGTTCCAGCACACATTTCGTTTTTGAGTTAAAAAATGGATGGGATAGAGTAGTGTCTGAATGTACTTTGAACGTAAACGTACCTGCTAACATGTGCTAAAGTCAGGGTGCTGATTTTTAGATAATGCTTCACAGAATATCGTTAAAAATTAATGATCAACACTGTCAAATACTTCTTGCCAGACGTTTCAAAGTTCACAAAAAAGCAGTCTGGGGTCTTCATTTTTAAATATTACTTAGGGAACTGTTTCAATACTTTTTATAAGTAGCGAGATAAATTGTAGGAGCCAAAAAACCCCAGACACAATTGAAATGATGTAATGTTATAAAGCCATCTAATTATCGTGGTTACTGTTAGACTGATTAATTTTAATAAGTCTCTAAAAGTCTAAGGAGCTGATGAGACCAAATACGATTGAAATCGCGATACAGGTATGATACGTACGTACATTACGTAAAAGAGCTCCTTTGATTGGCCAGTACTTTATCGGGACTGTCTAAGGCATAATGATGAGATCTAACATGATTAATATCGCGATTTACACCCTGACGTCCTCGGCAGTTTGCCAGTTTCATCTATCTAACAGGAACTGTAAGACTGAAGAGACTATACTTCGTTTACTTTCAGTAGCGAAGTGGCCTTCAGTGTGACCGGCGCAAAGTAAAAAAGAACAGCACTAGGCCAGAAAAGGAAGGAGACAACTCTCGGTCAAACTCTTAACCGGTTAGGAGCGTATAATCCGTATAGTACTGCACGGAAAAATTGACCATGTTATCCACTACAATTGCATTGCTCAAATGTGCTG